TGGACGTGGAACCCTGGGGTCCCTTGTCCCTGTCCCTTCAATCCCAAATTTACCTTCTCGACTCCGTGCTTGTGATCGCTATTATAATCTTCGGAATCTCCATGGCCGTCTTCAATCGTAGAATCCGCAGGTCTGTCCAGTTTAGCACGAATCTCTGACTCACGGGAACTTGAATGAAAATAACATGGTTTTGTCTCAGTCTCCGGAGAAGCCTTCAACGGGTGATGATGATGAAGTCGGATGGCTTGAAGAATGAAGGTTTTCTCGAAACGGATTTCTCCACCGAGCGCGTCAACGGCTCCAAATATCGGGATTTCGACAACGAGTCTCTCTTTTTCTTTCCCGGTCCGACTTTTCCTCAGTCTATGAAGAAGTTTAATATATATATATATTTTTTTTTTCCATCCGCAGGAAGTTCAAGCAATGTGGTGAATTTGCTCAGCTGTAAACGAAGCAAACGTCTTCCTCCTCGTCCATTTCGTGCCAGTGCAAATCATCCGTCCTTCCCCGTTTTCAAATGTTTTGTCATCCTTTTCCTTGCAATATCGCTTTTGTAAAATTCATGTGTGGTGTATCTTAAGCAAAAAATGAATCCATATCTATGGTGTTTTTTTTAATTATATTTTTAATACCTATCTTATGTTACATGTCTTGACCCTAGGATGTCTTCTTTCTTTTGTTCCGAAGGCCCGGGGGGTCCCATTTTTCCAGAGACTGGGAATACGTGTATGTACACCTTAGCGCGAGAACTTCTGAGAACTTTTGAGCAGACAAAATTTATTATCGAAATTTGCAGGCAGAAATTCGATCAGATTTCGATTTTGAGGCAGAATTCCTATCTGAAATTCTGCCTCAAGAGCTCTTTACATTATTAATGGTAAATATAGAGAGTTGAGAAAGAGAGATTGGAGAGTATTTGCTGCTTACCACCGACTTGGATTCATCGACGCTCCATAAACCCTGTTGGGGTCATTTGAAGCACCGACCCCATGGAGTTGCAAGTTATTAAGGGCGATTCACGTGAGCGTCCGATTCATTTGATTTGATTTCTGAATAAGTACAAGAAATACAGGGTTATTTTTTATTCATGGGACCATTATAAATATTTATAATCTTGGAACAAATAGAGTTAGATGCATGAAATTTCGCATCAAGAATCCATAAACATGGGAAAGTTATAGTCCATGAAAAAACATGTTCATTATGTCCTCTTTTGTGCGCAATCACCGGTCGCAGGGGTGCGGCGTAATTCTGCGCAACTGCACGCAGGGAATCCAGGAAAATGGAGTAACTTCGCGTTCTGTGGCCTCCTTCCAGCCTTTAAACGTGCACCGATTTAACCTTGACTCGAAAACTTTGTCCTTCTGGTGTCCCCAGAGAAAAATAGTCATACATTGCGTTGGACTTCCTGCACGAGTACTCCGGTACCAGAATGCCGTCTAGCAGATTTCCTGATATCCGCAGCGGTGGATTAGTATGGCCATCATTTCCCCCCCAATCTCAATCCATGTGGTTATTTCCTCTGGGAATATCTAAAGGACAAAGTCTTCGAGTCAAGATTAAACCCATGCACGTTTGGAGACTCGAAGGCGGCCACAGAACGTGAAGTCTGCTCCATTTCTCGGGATATTCTGCAGGCAATTGTGCAGAATTACACCACTCCCTACGACCGGTGATTGCGCACAAAGGAGGACACATTGAACAGGTTTTTTCATGGAGGAAAGGAAGTTTTCAACTTTCCAATGTTTATGGATTCTTGATGCGAAATTTCATGCACCTAATTCTATTTTTTTCCAAGATTATAAGTATTTATAATGGTCCCATGAATAAAAAATCACCCTGTATGTTTTTCTCCCTAACATATTTGATGATTCTTTATTTTTCATAGATACATTGATTTATGTCAACTCGAAAAATGACATTCACTGGGGAAGAAGTGAAATGAATCATATGAGCTGTTCACTCTTGAAAAAAGGAAGGCGCTAATTCCAGTTTTTCTCTCTTTTTTGTTCATATTTCTTCCTCTTTTTTCCTCTATGAGAAACAAAAAGAAATGAACATCAGATTAACTTTCTTTTCACTCTCATCAGAGGAAACTGGAGTTAGCGCTCTTTATTTTTCAAAGAATGTAGCATTAAAATAGACTGGATGGATTACATTGACCGAACGGGTGATAAAATTAGGAGAATAGGAAGTGGAAGACTAGTAAGGTACTTCTTGAGACAGGCGGAAGGGAATCCTGTGCTGGAAGCTCTTCCCCCTCTTCTCGGTCACGGTCATCCCCTCTTCTTTCACATTTTCTTCTAGACAAGTTTTTTCATTCTAATCTTGGCGGAATCCTTGAAAAACACTCTCTTGGCCTCCAGTCCTGGAGTTCTAATTCATATTCCCTTCCTGTTGCATCTTGCAGTCTGATCTGCCGCGTTGATCTGTCTGTAAATTCTCAAGAGTCCCGCAGGATAGTTCCATTTTTTCGTTCGTCAGCAAAAGCAGTATTTTCTTGCTTCCCCATTCATTGGAACGTCCATGCACTTTTTGGGTTCCTGTCTACGAGTTCGTGAGTTCACGCCTATTTGTGAGGTGGTCAGTTCATACGATTCGGTCGTGTACAATTCTACCGTATACGGTAGAATGGAGATTGAGCTTGACAGCCCCCCTTGGAACTCGGCGGACATGTCTACAACTTTTACATTATGAAGTCTCATGGAGTTGAATTTTGAAACGCGAGCATTTATACGTGTATTTCACTGTAAGATCGAATGTTAGGTCCCTCCGAAAACGTCAATCATTCCCCTTTCATTTTGAATACTCATATTAAAATAAATCATAAATAGTTTTGGAAGTGTAATACTGGTCTCTCATCTAATCTAGTAGTAATGATAACTTCGGAGGAATCTCTCGCAAAGGAGTTCGACGAGAGTACCAGAAAGGAGATAACTTCCGCAATATTGGCTTTTGGCCTTCTCAATTTTTAATTTCCTTCTTGAGAGAATTGCTAATTCGATCTATATGCTTGGAAAATATTTTAAAGTGTTATTTCTTTCTATGGTTTATTATGGACTCTTCCTTTTGTTTGCTTTTTCATCTCCAACCTCTCTCAAATTCGAGACGTTACATCGGCAAACGATATTCTGAATAGAAGGGATTTAATATTTGCAGAATACGATACATGAACAGCAACAAGTTTTAAAGCCAGGGACAAGAAATGTAAAACTTAGATTTAAAAGGGGGAAATAATTTTCACGTTTTGCCTTATGGCAGTGAAAGTCGAACTCCATTTCGACACTTTTGGATGGTTACTTCACAGAGCTCAGGCAGCTGACAAAATGGTCCAGAAAGAAATAATGTTCAAGGCCTAATTTTTCTAATAGCGACACAACCCAGTCGGCACAGCCATCCCAGCAAACAAACGAACATTCAATCAACGTTGCATGAACGTTGAACTTGAACCTTCCCACGGTTGTGGTGGTGTTGCATCTAACATTAAGTCTATATTTCAAAGTCGCTTATCGGAATACTCAGATGAACGTTGAAATTCAACACAGGCTGAAGGTTGGGCCCACATCGCAATGTCACTTATTGGAATCCCACAGAGCACAGGTATATCCCAAAGATATCCCCTTGGGATAAGTGCGATGTCCCAGAGACAAGGAGTAGGGGACATCTTAGGGATATGAAAATGTCTGGGCCCGATGACATCCCAAGGATGTCGCTTTCTTGAAGAACTAGCACATCCCAGAGATGTCCCAGGGATATCCCCTGGGGACAAGGCCCGGACATTACTTGTGGGGACATCTCAGGGGTATCAAATTGTCTGGGCGACAAGTATGGTGAGCACAAGTATATCAGAAGGATGTCCCAAAGATATCCCCTTGGGACAAGGGAGGAATCTCAGGTAGTATTAATACTTGCAGGCACCTTCCTATCCGCATAGACCCATTCCCTACCGCACAGGAGAACCCATCACTTTTGAAGATGTCTTTAATTGATCTAGGAACATCTAATCTTAAGATCTTGACCGAATGAAGAGTGATGATTATGGAGATGAAAATCCTGTTCCAACAGGGGGCCCCATCATAGGAAACACATCTCCAAGGGACGAAATTTCGCACCTATACACGAGGGGTCATGGACAAATGGACAAGATGATTTAAACTTCCGCCTTTTAAAAGTATGGGCTCAGGCCTCCAACCAAGATAATTGTATCCAGACATGCCGATTACTTATCATTAAATAGAATATAGCGAACAAATTGAAATTCGGACCGCAATTTTTTCACTTTCCATAATGACAGTTTTCCTGATGTAAGGTAAGAAAATCTTCACTTATCCTCAGGACAAATCAAGTAGATGAATTTGATAGAAAAGATCTGAGTTTGCAGAGGTTGCGGGAGACATCTGCCGTTGAAGCTATGCACCTGACTGAAGGCGACAAGGAGCACTGAAGATGCCTAAAGACATCCTTCAGATGTCCCTAAGACATCCCTCCTCAAGATATCGAAAAACGTTCAACTGAAGATGTCGTCAAGATATCCCCTCCAGGAAATCCAGAAGCATTCGACTAAGGATGTCTTAAAGGTATCCCGAAAGGGATATCTCAAAGATATCGACTGGAGGTGTCTAAAAGACGTCCCTTAGATATCCCGAAGACATCCCTTACGAGATGTCCGAAACCGTCCGAAAGAAGATGTCTTCAGGATATCCTATAAAGACCAGGGGACAAGTCGTCCAGTTAGGGACATCCCTGGGTTATCACTGTGCTGTGTGGGATGCTCACTCCCACTCTGGTAGCACCATTATATTGGTCAATAATGACGGGAAGGAACATATATTGTTCTGAAAGTACTAATGTTAATACTTTCCAGGGAACAGTCCTCCCTTTCCTGCTCTGCGGAGTACTAAAATCCTCCTTCCCTTCGCTGGGGTCAGGAATGGTCATTCTGCTTCCGAGCTACAGAGGTCAAGGCTAAAGTAAACAATCGAACACACGGTCACTTATAAGACCTGATTTTGCACCTGGATGCAAGCGTTCTCATAGGTAGTATAAGCTTTTTATCGCCTGGGCTCCATGTTTCTGTCTCGAATATATGGATAATAAATGATTAAGTGTAAGAATTTATTATTATAATGAGGCAATGAAAAACATATGGTTAGGTACTAAACACTCCTGTGAGGGATGATTCCATGGAAAGTGGGAAGTGTACTTTTGTGTACTGTACGAATAGCGAGACCCATACCTCCATCTAATGGCCTATAGGAAAACTTCAACATTTCCACAAAAAGCTCGTGGATTAGCGAAGTCGTTTAGTGGCTATTAGGCGCTAATTATTTTTCATCATATATGATGAAATATATGATTCTTCCTGTTTGTGACTTTTTTTTTTTACTTCAGTCAGGCATTCGTGTGTGAAATGTTCCTTAGGCAGGGATGCCCGAGTCAAGTGAAGAAAAAAAAAAAAACAAAATCAAGAGAAAAACACTGTAAAAGGGGCAGGGACTTCCCACCCAGTCCCCCCTCGGCGACATGAAAGATCTGGCATCTCTGTCACAACCTGATTCTGGCCTGTTAGCCAGCTCTCTGCGATCGCCTTACGAGCCTCACTTCAGGAGAACCATAA